CACAGGGCTAACGAGCTCCATCTGCCCGGGGGGCCGGGAATCGAACCCGGGTCGCAACGGTGAGAGTCCTGCACCCTAACCACTAGACCACTAGAGGCCCCTCAAGCCAGTTATTTACCAGTTATTTGCCAATTTTAAATTGGGTTGGTTTTTTTTTTTTTTTAAAGTGTAGCACATTATCCGTTTAAATTTGTCTTGTTAATAGCAGCTTATTTCTCCAGTTTCTCAAGATCATGCTGGAGTATAATGGCTTTCAGTTCCCCTGCATTTCTTCTGAGTTTGATGTCCTGCGCAATTTCCTGGTGTTTATTATCCATTTCCTTAATTAAAATTTTGACCAAAGGTGCATGACAAGTACATGCATGAAGAACAGAATTACTGAATGCTTGAGGTTGGAAAGGGCCTCTGGAGTTCATCTGGTCCAATGCCCATGCTCAAGCAGAACCACCTAGGGCATATCCATGCAGCTTCTGAGTATCTCCAAGGACGGAGACAGCACAATCTCCCTGGGCAGCCTGTGCCAGTGCTTATTCACCCTCACTTTAAAAGAAGTGTTTCCTGGTGTTCAGATGGAACCTTTCTCTGGTCCTGTCATGGGGCACCACTCAAGAGAGCCCCTTTTCTTTACGTCCTACATTCTTATGTACATTAATGATATATACACATTGATGTGACCTCCCTGAGCCTTCTCTTCTGCAGGATGAACAACCTCAGCTCTCTCAGTCTTTCCTCATAGGAGAGATGTTCCAGTTCCTTAACCATTTTAGTGGCCCTTTGTTGGATTCCCTCCAGTAGCTCTGTATTTTGGTGTACTAGAGAGCTCATAACTGGACCCACTACTCGAACTGTGGTCTAATCAGTGCTGAACAGAGGGGAAGGATTACTTTCCTTGACTTGCTGGCAAGACTCTTCCTAATGTCCAGGGTGCTATGAGCCTTCTTTTAGATGCAAGAACACATTGCTGGCTCATGTTAAACTTGGTGTCAACAGTAACCTCCAGATTTTTCTCTGCCAAGCTGCTTTCCAGCTGTGTTGCCCCCAGCATGTCCTAGTACTTGGGACCCTGCTTGATCTGTTCTTCCAGGTGATCTACTCTTTCAGGAAAATCAGGTCTTTGCGAGCATTTTTTTTTCTTTCCCACATTGCTATTCTATTAAGCCATGTTTTCCTCATTAGTTAATGATAGCATCACATGGTGGGTATCAAAAACTCTTGCTAACATGTAGATATATAAGATACCTTTAACCACTAGGTCATTTACCTTCTCAAAGACAAAGTAAAATTAACTTGACTTGTGTTTGACAAATCCAGGCTGCATATTTCATATCACCTCATTATACTACAGGTGCTTATAAATTGATTGTTTAATTTTTCTATTATCTTAATGAGTATTGAAGTTAGGCTACCTAGCATATAATTGTCTGGATCCTTTTATTTGCTTGTGTGTGAAATTCCATTGAAATTAAGGTGAAAAGTGAACAGCTTTTGTTATTCTCCTTTATGACTTTGCATCTGAAGACTCTGATCTCAGGTAACACCTAGAAATGTAGAGACACATGCGTACCTTCCTATTGAATGCCTTTATCATGTTCTCTTACAGAGACCCTAAGAGCACACTGTGATCCACACTTGATTCTCTAGTAAGTCTCGTCATATAAAAAAAATGTACAACATTTTTCAAACATTTAACTGCACAGTTATGGCAGCAAAATAGGACTTCTTCAGGAAAGGGATTTTTGTCAGTTTGGGAAAGACTAGGCATCCAAATCTGGGCAAAGTCAAAGCCTGCCTCATGCCTGCCTCTAAACTGTGAGAAAAAATCTGCCCAGCTGGCTCGTGTCAGGCCTCAGATTCCTGCCTGCCTCCTCTACAAAAAGCCTTGCACCAGTGTATCAGGGGTTAATTACGCTGATACTTTTGGTCTGTGTTCGGCCTAGCCATCTGTAAAAGTTTCGTTCTTTCCTTGCCAAGTTATGAGAAAACAAGCACTGATAAACGGGTACTTTGTCCTTGAAGGGAGTTGTTGTATAAACTATATCTAATTGGTGTTCTGGGATTGGCTAATTGTTCTCCAAGGTCACTTGAAGGAGAAATTGAAGACTATGATGATGAAGGGAACCCCCAGACTCATTTGGAAAAGACCCTCCTGAGTGCAGTACGCAGGCGCAGGGAAAGCCACGCGTGCACAGAAGAGATGCACTTACATAACCAGGGGGTGGGACTGAGAACCTCTGACTGGGCGGTGTTGGCCACATGGGCCTAGGTTGAGGTCACTCAGTTAATTGTATAAAAAGCAGATAGCTCTCCCTTGGGAGTGAGCTAGCTTCGCATCAAGGACAACGTTGCCTTTTGGTGGGGCCGCCTGCAATTTGTGAACTTACTGACCCTCCAAGGATGCAGCTTCTGCTATGGGTAATTATAGGCATGCTAGGTCGGTAAGATAACTTTATGGGCAACAGCTGGGTAACTGGGGAGGTTGTGCTGGGGGCTTATTTCTCTCTTCCTTCCTCCCTTTTGGGTTTGTTCGTTTTGTTGGCCACCTCCTGGTAATAAATTTCAGTTTTGTTGAGCTTGCAATGGTGTCACGGTTTCACAATTTCAGTATGCTCGAATCCTCCCTAATACAACTGGCAAAGACATTTTAATGCCATAGAAAAACTCAGGGAGAACAAATAAGTCATTTATGACTGTATCAAGTGTAGTCATCAAGATGATTGTAGTGGGGCGGCTGCAGAGAGAAGAACCCAGGTGCTGCCTTAACTGGAAACAGGCAGTGCCAGACAGCTCCAGCCGACACAGCACAGGACACCACTGAGCCAATCAGTCAAGCTGGTGGTACCTCTTGGAAAACATATTTAAAAAGGGAAGAAATACTTGACTGGTAGAGGATGAGGGGAGAAAGAGTGAGAAAAAGCAGAAGGAACACCAAGGTCAGAGGAGGAGGTGCTCCATGGCAAAACAAATACTCCCATGGGGACTGCAGCCACAGAGAACCTCACTGGAGCAGAAAAGAGTGAAAGGGTAGAAGTGGCAGACTGCAGTCATGAGTCCAACAGTGCTTGTTGCTGCTATGAAGGAACTGAGTGAGAGCTGAGTCAAGGAAAGAGCCAACTGGAGTGAAAGACTAAAGCACAGAATAAAAAGGTATCTGAGGTGAAGTGGTACTGGAAGTGAAATTGAGTTTGGCAAAGAGGAGGAAAGGCTTTTTTTGGTGTTTTTGTGTTTGTCTTTTTTGTTCCTTAGTTTCTCAATGCCCAAACAGTAATTATACAGTGATGTTAGTTGGAATAAATTCAGTTGAATTCCCCAAGTTTTGCCCATAACATCGCTTGGTGAGTGATTTCTCTGTCTTTATTTTTACTCATGAGTTTTCACACTTCTGTTCCCTCTATTTTCTACCCCATCCCAACAAAGAGAAGGGAGTAAGCAAGCAGCTAGAGAGGGTGGGGAGCTGGGCTGCCAGCTGGGGCCAACTTACAACAAACACTCTATTTGTGAACATGGGATGATACCATATGATCATAGTATATCTAAATGGCACATATGGAACACATACATATGTTTAATGTTATTTTATCCATTTGTAACTACAGAAAAGTACATCATCGCTCTCACACCCTGCCCATGGAGTTGTACCACCCAAATTACACTAATGCCCTGAAACTTAGCTAATCCATAATGCCTTGCTTTTGCCCCATCTAGCAGTGACAGCCCAAACACTTTGTTGTGGTATTTATGCCATAACAGAATCCTTGAAAATACAGTGTAGAGAACAATATCTGTCTCATTAGGCTGATAATTGTGTCAGTTATGATCTTGTGAGGCAAGACAGCCACATTACACTGGCAGATAAATCAGTTGCTGTATTGGTATGGCCATCCCATCCGGACATGAAAACATTGCTCTGTTTCACAGCATTGTGGTAAGCTGAAGGAAACAGCTTAGACACTTTCTTTTCATCTTGTAAAAGCAGAAAGTTTAGGAAAGATATCTCTATATCAGATAGGTTTTCTGTGACACCAAATTCCTTAGGAATAAAACTGCATATTAATCCTGATCTCTGAAGTGCCTGGTGTATTTTGTGGGGCATATAAATATCACTAAGATCATGTTGTCCTAGTGCATCCTATTCTAGAGCTAAGCACTGAAGCTTATATTGAATGGCTTGTTGATGAGGTCTAAATGTAGTCTAACGCAAATTTGCTAATAAGCTGAAATAGTTCTGAATGGGTTGGCATGGAATCTAAATGTGTATTAAATTTGCTTTGATAATCACAATGTAAGCATACTAGCTTTCCTTCATTTGCTTTCAAATTGAGAATTGCTTTCTCCAAACTTAGTGGCAGCATTGAAGTATTTAAAGCCAAGTAAGTTGGACAGTTTTCAGGCTTTTTGTGAATGATTTAAAGATTAAACATGGAGACAGAGAAATGTTGTTTTATCGTAAGTCAGCTATAAGAAAATTGCATTAAAATGTTCTACAGAAAGTCTGTCCTAAAGTAATATAAATGGGCTGCTGCTAAGCTGCAGGCTGTAGCTGATAGCGTATGCTTATATGTATTTGTGTGTTCACATGTTTTTCCCCAAGGAGAAACAAAGACATTCACCCTTCAGTTCTGCCTAGGCCTTAATTCAAGCAACTGTGATATATTTTTTGGCAGGAAAATGTGAAATGGAAAAGGACAGATTGTTTACTAAAAGAAAGAAAACAGAAACAAGATACATTTATACCAGACTGAAAATGACAAAGATTTGCTGATATATAAGCTCCTCACATTGTAAAAGTTCAAAGTAGCTCATAGTACTGTATCTTAATCATGTGAACCGTGCAAATAAACAGCCAATTCAGTGGTAACCACGGGGCATGATCTGGAAAGGTTAGACTTGGCTTTAGGGTACTGCTTGATTAATAGGAAAAGCAGAAATCTTTCTCTACAGTAGGTCTAAATAACTTTTCCCCCAAACAGAGCATTTTTCCCACATGCACAAATGAATTTTGTGGATTTACTTTTTTTTGACAGAAGTTAATCCTGCAAGTGTGTTATAGATACTCTCCTGACCCCTGTGCAATTAAATAAGGTCTGGGAGTCAAGGTGGTAGCAATGATCCACCAGTGTGGTTCATTGTAGAGGAAAACAACACCTGCTGGATTCTGGGTTTCTCAAACTCTTTTAATTTCTATAATAGGTTACTACTCAACATGACCTAGGAAATTTTCTTCTTTTGATAAAAGTCAGTTCTGTTTTGCACATTTATATGTAGGCAAAAAGCTGCATCAACCAAGTTCTGTGCTAATCTAGTTTAGACTGACAACATGATCCAAACAACTTTATTCAATAACTTTTGTTCTCCACTGTCCATCTCTGTTGACAATCAATCCCACACGTTGCTGTATATTACCTATTCATTCTTTAATGCCACAGTTGCATTCCCCTGGGAGGAATGCCATGTGAGCCAAAGCCTACATGTTTCTAGTTCCACAAACCGGCAATCAAAATTAGTTTAAGATGTCTTTGCATATGTTTATAAAATGCATAGCACAAGAAAATATTCTATTAGTGAGAATATTAACATTAAATACATGAAAGTTTTTTACCATTTCTAATGCATGAAAATGTATCCAGTGGGGATATTCATAAGTTATCACAGAAATATTTGCCAAAACCTGTCAACAGAATCCATTACTATCTGAAAATTACAGAATAATTTGGACTGGGAAGAAGCTCTGGAAAGTATCTGTGCCAAGCTCCAGACAGGTACAATCTTAATCTTCTCTTTTACTGCTTCCTCAAACTTTAAAGGTTTTGTATACATACATGCACATGTGTATATGCAAAGACCTTTACTAAAGAATCCCAAGTGGAAGTAATCTTAATTTGAATTTTCCCAGCAGTCTAGTGCACAAAGTAGAACTGACTGCTTAGACTGAACTTAATCCTTTGGTGTGATCATTCTAGACATTGGCTGCGGTACAATAATGAGATCAGCTGGAAGATTCTGTTGTCTTTACTAGAGGCAATAAATGATTCAATGTCTATAAGTTCTAAATAAGGCATTTTTACACATACATAAAGCTAAAACAAATATCTAACACTTAAAAATACACTTAAAAAAATGCTGAGAAAGAGACAAGAATCACAAATAAATGTGCTTGTATTACAGAAGCTTGGGCAATACGCTGCAGCAAATAATTCAGGTTTCTGTATTTACTGAGAAAATTATGGGAACTGAAAAATAAAAGGCATGCATAATCTAGTTACAGCTAACTTGTTCTGCAATGTCAGCGGTAAAAAGTGTGAACGCTGTAGCAGACTGGCAAGAAATTAGAAACATTTATGGATGGACCTGACTGCTGACATCCACTACTGTCTTTGAAAGAAATATTAGTATTTTAGCAGTTGAACAGTTATTTTTCAGTCGTGTAAGGAAGAGGTTGTTGGATTCAGGAAGAATGCAACAAGGGTCATGCCGAAAATGTGGAAACCAAACTCATTTGTTTCTCCTCAGGCAAATCACAGTTCAGGCTGACCAGCTAATTACCCTAACCTTGACCCAGGAGGCAGTCTGACTTCTCAATAACTTACAGGTGATTCACTCTTTTCCTCTGGTTGAGCTGTGTGTTTTCCCTCCTGAAATTAAAGCAATCCATTTGGATCAAATTATGCATGACAATTTTGGGATGTAAGTTAAGAAATGAATAGGAGCCAAGCAAAACCTATTGCTTTCTAGCAGCACAGACTGAGGTTTCACAGGTGAAAGGGTTTATTTCTCCTCTTTATTTTTTTTTCCCTCCTCCAAGAATATCCTTTGCTTTTTTGTTTACACAGTTGCAAGAATTGAAAGAAGCTGGGATCTCAGATGTTTATTGGAGTGAAGTGATGACATACAACATCCGCACAAATGGTAAGATATGAGATGTGACTCTGGATGCCAAGCAGGTAGTAATTGGGAGGCTGGATAAATCAGTAAGTATAAAAAAAGCAGATCTGAACATTCATCTGGAATGCAAACTGACCCTGAAATGGCAAATGTTCACATAAGTATTTTTAAAATGGTTACAGGTGGGTAGCCTTCTTGGTTTCTGCCTACAGCATTAATAAGGTTTACAAAATGAGGGAACTTCACCTGAGGAAAGAATATAAGCAAGAAACTAAGTTGATCTAGTTAGAATATGTAGGAAATTTAAAAGATCCCCACCAAAAATAAAAGACTGTAGACATATCAGTTCTCAAAAGGACTTAGTAATATTCTTAATTTAATGAATACAATGTATATCTGGTGAATTTTGGCAAAAGCAGTAACAGCAGCGCTTTGTCTAATAAATGTTTAGAAATAATTTATTTTCTTGAACTGCTGCCTAGTATGAAAAACTTCTATGAAATATATGCAAATAGGAAGATTCCAAAATAATATTGCAGAAAATCAGAAAATAGTTTGTATGTATTTTTACAATCCAAGAAGAACCACCTCAATTAGCTTTTTAAAATAGGGTGGTGGCCACATCATTCTTGATTATGCATCCACATAAGTAGAATCCAAATTTTATTTTAATAAAATGTCTCTGTGCATTACATTTTATGCTGTGTATCTTATTTATTAGCCATAAAAAAGCCCCCACCGTTTGATGAACTTTTTGTTAGTAAACAAATCCAAACTGCTAAAACAGGTTGATAGTCTTTACTTTTACTGTGAAATAGATCTGGTAAAGGACCTTTATACCACCCTCCTGAAATGTCTAGAATTTGGTATTTCTTAGCTTATGAAAATCACCCTCGAGCTTCTATTTAGGAAGCTTGAGGCTCTTTTGTATTTTCATTAACTCCTTTAAGCCACTTAAATGATTTAACTGAGTAAATGCTCCTTGAATGTTAAGCTACTGTAGAGACTGCAACATTTAAGCACTTAATCTTGTAGATTTAAGATGCGGGGAGGCATGGGAGTAAATTACAAATCTTTTGTTTTGCTGTCTGTAATATATAGTGATTAGACAGCACTAGAAGCGCTGGTTGTCAGCTCTACTGCATAATTAGGAATCTAGACAAAATATAACTAAGTCTTTTTAGACTAAAAAAAAAAAAAAATCCAGGCAATAAAATGGATAAGCTCAGCTTTTGGCCAGACTCTTATTTTGTGCAGATCATCATAACACTAAACTTAATTGAACTACATTGATTTACCTAATCTAAGAAGCTACCCCTTCATGGAATGGTGTATCTTACTAGCAGAATAAGAAATCAGTACAACTCAACTAAAATCAGACTTACCTGGAAGTCAAGGCAAATGTAAGCTTAAGCTACAGAGACTCACAAAACAAACAAAACTACAAAACATTGTTTACCCTCTTTGAAACAGCTTTTTTTTTTTTGCTAGGATTTTAGATGGATTTTTTGCAACACTGATTCAGACCAAAAAGCAGAATTTATGGAAATATAAAAAGAAAGCCTCAGGTAATGGACAAAATACAAGTACTATAAACTGTATATAAAATATATATTATCAAAGAAGTGAGTCATTCTTTGTAGGAAAAGATATTATGTCTTTTAAAAGGACTTTTTTTTTTTTTAAGTTTGACTTTCCATTACTCCTTTGTGGAAAAATAAATATAGAAATTTAAAAAATATATAAGAATTACAGCCTTAGGTAAAAAAATGGCACAGAGGTCTCTGATCCTGCAAACAGAATCTACATTAGGGCTTTCCCTCAGTCTGAAGAAAATTAGGCAGCTCAGCATAGGATCCAAAACTATATAACAGTTTACTCAGTAGGAAACTACCTAAACCAGCCTACAGATAAACCCAGAAAAGCAGTGGTTTTGCTGAATGGTGAACTCAGTGCTACTGAGATGCACTTCTGTGCACCAGATCTTCTTGATGTATAATGTATCTTTCACTTCTCCTTCTAAATGGAACATGAGTCACTGCTTTTTGTAGGAGATAGCTGGAGGAGGATCTGTTACTGTGATCCTTTAATTTCATACCAGAGCATCAGAGACCTTCTAATAGGATGTGGGAGTCCAGGGCACCAAACCCCACATCTCACCTCCCATAGGGGTGTCCTAACCAGCAGGCTGAAGGCACTAAGTGAGGAGGAGCACTTTTACTTCCAGCCACTTCTTATGAAGCTGTTCTGCTCTGTGTCAAAAAATTCAATATTCACCATGACTGTTAGAGCCTACCCCTGTTTCTTGCCTCCCACACACACCTCATTTCCTCTGAGAGGAGTGTGAGTATGTTTTTTAAGTAATTATTTCAACTCTACAAAAACTACAATTAGCACTGAAGCCAATGAGTTTGACCCAGTGTTCCAGAGCCCTTTAGAAGCATGGTAGATGACATTTCAAAACAGCTTAACCTCATGACAATAACAAGATCACAAATACAAAAATTCATACTCGAACCCAAGTCTTTCAGACTGACATATAACCTTGAAATGCCAGGTACATGGGGAGAAGAGAGAAATATTCTATTCTTCTATTCCTCTTTTATGTAACAAAGTTGCATATAGAAGCTTAGTACAAATAACTAACAGAACTTCTGTCTTTCATAAATCCCACTATGCTCTAAGCACATTTAGGTATCATCAATCTTCCCTTGTCAAATCCTGAAGAAAGCTTTAAACTTTCTCTGGTGTTAAAATAAAAGTTAACTGCTGTCACCTGAACCTGGACTTGAAATACTATGTGGAAGCTCAGCAGTAGGTTTGAGAATTGGGAGGGGCTTTGGGGTCCAACCTCTAACCTTGCCAATGTCTGTAAGTGCCAACAGCCACTGTCCAAAGATCTTGTTCTTCTCATATTTCGTGGAGTGAAATGAAAAAGACGTCTTGGAACCTGTGTGTAAATGCAGGTGTCTTACTGGAGTTTCTAATTCCAATAGACTAAGAAAAATGAGAGTGGCATTTTCTGTAGGCTGTCTTGTTACTAAGCAATGCTGCATTGATTCCTTTTCATTTCCTTAATTCAGTTATTTTTATATATATATTTTATTCAAATATTCCTGATATCAACTATATCTAGTGTAGTAAAGCAAATTAAGAATCATTGCCAAAATTTCACTGTCTTTTTTCTTATTAGAATACTTTAAAGAGCTTCTTCATACGTAAAAGAACAAACAACATGTAAGAGAAAGTAAAACATTATAGCTGTGTGCTTCTTGCACTCACCATTCCCATCAAAGAATTTCTCATGAAAATCAATTTCTAAGAAATTGTCAAAACAGAGTTGGAACTGATCATTTCAAAGGAATACACAGCTTGTTTACTGAAGAGTCTGTGACTGAGACCTGCTAACAGCAGTTTATGTAGACATGCAAACAGCCTTGACTTTAATTTAACTCTGGAGGCACAGGCAGTCTTCAAACCTCTGCAAACAACAAACTGTGAAGTCAAATCAACAAGTTTCACATCAGATCAATACTGAAAATGTGATAGAAATCAGTGTGAGCTATATAATTTCAGAAATAGATCCTGGCCTAGTCTCAAGTGCATATTGATCTTTTATAATGGGGTATTATGTCCTTTAATTACTTTGCAGTATTCAAGCCTATAATGTTATCTATTTAAAACAGCACTTTCTTATTTATTCAGCCATAAAGCACTTTTTATCTTTGTGGATTAAAACTGTGTGTGGGACAAACACCATATTTTTATGCAAGGCTTACAAAATTATCTTTTCATTTTTCTAATAAGTTAATTTTTTATTTTGTAATACACTAAGAAGTTCAAGCATTTGTGATGAAAACACTAGAGATTAATTCAGGGATTTATTTTAGTGACTTGCCCTTTAAATTTTCTTCTATGCAGTACATTTTCAATCAAGACATCTGGCAGACCCCTTTGGGGCCTGGTACGTATAAAAGTGTTCAAGTTTACAAAGCTGAGAATGCCAGACAGCAGTTTATCTATCTCTTGATAATTGTTCAACCACCAATCAGATCATGTCCTTGATGCACACCATTTTATCATACTTAGCCAGACCCAAAGCTTTTTATTTTCTTTTTTTCTACTTCTATAGTTTTTTTTATTTATTTTTTGCTTCCCATCTGACTAAAAAAGTAAACAGGACCTGAATTCTTAACAAGACTTTTAACCCTTTCTCTGGTGTTGGTATTCTCAATATATATGTCTGTGGAGTGGGTGCACCTTTTCAGAGATTTGAGGTTTGGGTTTTTTTCCTTTTTTCTGTCAGTTGGTGACTTACCAGGCCCTCCTACCCCAAACTGTATTGTAGAAACTACACTCTGGACTCTAAAAAGGCCAGGTGAAAATGACCGGCTGTAAACAAAATAATGAGAGCATTAGAAAATTAAGAAGGAATAAAGTGCAAAAACTCTCTCTCCACAGCAAGCACTTATGCCTAAAAATATATCGGTTGCTGCAATGAAACAATGGCCTTTACTGTAAGATGTAGGTCTGTGCACCATGTTAAGTGGTAGAGAATGAGCATCATCCCTTCATTACATGTAGGAATTCAGATTATTTTTTGGGCAGTGTAGCAAAAGGAGGAAAAACATCAAATCTGCATTCTCGAGGAAAAGGCAAATCTGTCAACACAATGTGCAATTACTACCAGCTCAGAGAACTAATTGGGTGCACAGATATATCTGTCTCTGAGGCAAAAGTTGCGTCAGTGTTATTTTATATGAAACAGCTAAAACGTCTTCTCAGCAGCTCCTCTGATATTGGCACATTTGCTTGGCAAAGATGTATTCAAACATGTCAACATGAAATTTTGGTATTAAATACATAGAGGCAATATTTTCATGTTTGTGTTAACACCTAAGTACATTGACTATCCAGGTTATCTTACTGCTGTATTCTGGTGGCACAGTAATGCCACTCAAATTACTATCTGAAACGCAATCTTAAAAAGATTGGGACAAAATCTGTTACTGGGAGCTAGCAGT